TTTTTAACCTTGGATATTGTCTTGTGTATAACATTTATAGATAGGTCTGTTCGTTCTTCTACGGTTGCAGGTGATGTTAAGTATTGTTTTCAAAAAGTCCTTGTTTGATCCCTTTTAAGCTATCAAATAGCTTGCATACAGTTTATGAATGAGCCCAATGCCCAGAATTTCCTACTAACACGAAAGAACAATACCATGAATAACAGTTTAATATTTGTATAAATATACACAAAAATGAAAGAAAGAAAAACGTGTATAAAACTTAAAACATCACTATCTCACGTGAGAAGTTACCGAAACTCATGATAAAGTATTTATTCAAAAGATTAAAAAATATTTTAAAAATTTTGAAACATAAATATCTACAAGTCACCGGTAATGGAAACTGGTGTCAGTCTCATAAAACTTTCAGAAGCTCTAAATGACGTAACTGATTAGAATGCGAAGTAGCGTTTAAACGTAAAACAAATGTTATAGATAAACTAAATAGAAGTAATAAATGAACAGAAAATAAAAACCAAAAAAGAAATTAAAGTAGAATTTGCTACCTCATATTCCTTCCTCTTTCGAAAAAGAAAGTGATTACATTAATCACTGATAATAAAGTCCCAATTTTCGTATCCATACTTTTAAGGACCTTATTATACTGACACCACGAATCCTGCCCAGTTTAAGTACATGTACCTTACAAAGAAAATTCGTTCCCGTTCTTCTACCTTCACCACCTTCCGGCTTAGGTTACGGGACGTCTTTGAGTTCAAAGACAAGCTAAGCTGCAATAATTAACTAGTTAGACAAAGATTTAAAATCATGTGATCATTATTTACATACTCTTTAGCAATATTAACATCTACAAGTCACCGTTATGGAAAACTGTTGTTAGTCTGATACTTAAAATTGATGTGAATAACTAGATCGTGAGTTAGCGTTTAAATGTAAAACTAAATATTCACAGCTTAAACAAATGAGAGAATGAATATAAACGGTTAACAAATCCAAAACTAAATAAATTGAACTTGCTACCTAACACTTATTTCCTTTTAGAAAAAAAGGGATTACATTAATCACTATTTAAAATACCAAATTTTAGTATCCTTACTTTTAACTCCCTCATTATACTGACATAGTCAATCCTTAACAACTAAAATACATATATATTTGAAGGCGAAATCATTCCATTTTCTCCTATACTCGGTTTTTATCTTCTTTAGCTTCCGACTTCAGTTCAGTTTAACGGAAGTTCATGGGTTCCAAGGCCAGCTAATCTGTGATAATTAACTAAACTACTCACATCAAGAAATCAGAATTCATGTGATAATCATGTGCACACTTTTCCAACATTAATATCTGTACGTCACCCCTATGGAAAATCGGCTGGAGTCTGATAATTTATATAATTTTAAAAATTGATGTGGTTTACTGGAATGCGAGTTAGCGTTTAAATGTAAATTAAAAATAGCCAGATTAACTAAACGATAGAAGAAATAACTGAATAGTAAACAAAAGCATAACAAAATAAAAAAAATTGCTATCTCACAATCCTTCCCCTTTCGAAAACCGAAGTGATTACATTAACCGCTCCGTCTAAATTTCTAATTTTCGTATCCTTACATTTAAGTCCCTCATTAAACCAACATCACGAATCCTTTAGAGTTTAAGTAGATATCTTACAAAAGAAAAAAAAATCGTTTACGTTATTGATCTTCTCAAACTTTCTGCTCCAGTTCACCTTACATGAAGTTCAGAGATCTACTAGATTGAGCAGGACACAAATTATTAGCAGGATACGTCAAGTGATGAAAAGTGGAGACACCAGAACAAGTCCTTTTTTTGTGGAATGGGAATCTGCAAACCTTCTGTCGACATTAATTTTTCTGTAAATACCTAGAACGATGAGCATCTCTCACGTGTTTAAATAATTTTCACTTAGAGACATTCATGCAAATGTTCATTTTAGAGACATAAAATCATCCAACAATTACATGCAATATACAATATTTTTAGTTGATCTATATATCAAGTAGCACAAGCAGCAACGTCGAACAAACATTTCCATTTTGTAACAAATTTACGTGTAAAATTATCTACTCTACAGTATAATGGATATATAATAGTATTATGTGGAACTTACGTATTTTGTGTACGAGAAATTCTGGCGATTGTAGTCTTGTCGCTCCTGTGATTTTCAATGTTCAATCTTACCTTCCGTTTTAACATCTCAAAATAGTGCTGTTTGTTCATCTTGGTATCGATGTGCTGACGAGTATTTTGTCAATTAGTTCCAAAATGTCACTATCTCTCGTAAACTAACTAATTAATGCTCAGGACAGGGTTTTATTTACTACACTGCAGTTCACGTGATCGTTATTTACATACTCTTTTGTAGCATTAATAATATCTGTAAGTCACCGCTAGGGGAAACTGGTGTCGTTCTCATAATTCATACACTTTTTTAATTTTTTAATTTTAATATTGTACTTTATTTTTCTTACTTCAGCTTTTGGTTACTGCATGACAGTATACCCTACCTATAATTCGATGAAAACAAACAAATGTAATAAATACAAACTAATTAAAGTGAGAAATTAATAAAATAGAAAGCTATGTTTCTAGACTGAACATAAAGTTAAGATGAAATTCATGCTAATATTTTATGGTATTATTTATTTAAATATTAAGGATTTACTTCTTTCTCATTTTATATTAAATCCTATACATTTTTTTTCGCTCTACTTTAACTTTCAGCCATGACAATAAACAAGTTTAATAAATACGAAAGGGTTAACTGTATCTGCTGCACAAATGTGTGAATGGTAAGTTAATAGTGCACCAAGTCAGAGATCCTTAGGGTTCTGATATAGTCAACCACCATTATGAACTGTTGACTAGAAGGAATGTAGCCAAATAGTAGAACTTATCACCTAATGAACATTGTCCAGTTGATTCATAAAAAAAAAGGGATTTGATGTCAGTTGTATAATAGCAGTGGTTCTCAACGTGGGCCATATGGCCCCCAAGCCATGTTTATATGGGGCCACACGTGAATGGCAGAAAATTAGGGGACCACAGTAAATTCTGAGTGGGCCACAGAAACTTCACTGCTGAAATAAAATATTTAAAATTTAAAATTGAATCAAAGATCCCCCTTCTTCCCCAGAGCTCAAAAGTCAAGTTAACAGACGCGACTAGTACTCTAGTAACAATCAAAATGTTTGTCTGATATCTGTGAATGTTTTTGACTGATTCTCAAGAGCAGCAGAGTGATATAACAGCCCAAGCTAGATTCAAACGTGACAAACATTATTTCTGGATAAGTAGTGAAATAGCTAATAAGCTTCCACAACTTTGGGAGAAGGCAAAGTTATATTTTATCGCTTTTCCCACATGTTATCTGGTTGAATCTGGTTTTAGTCGGGTGACTTATTTGCTATCAAAAATATGTAACCGCCTTGATGTTGTGAAGAGAGATGATCTTCGCTTATCACTGACCACACCGCAACCGGACATTCAAAAACGTTCAAGTGTTCATCAGGCCCAAAGATCATACTGAATAAAATGTCAATGATTAGCAGAATATTATTTACTTGTATAAATAAACAGTATGTTATAAATAAATTATTTTAAAACAATACAATGTTATGAAAATAATATTATAAATATATTATAAACCAGCAGTGTGGAAATAAAGGAGCTTTTTTCCTAACTAACAGCGTCTACGAAGGGTGGGACCACAGAGATAAATCAAACTCGAATGGGAGCCAAGAGCAAAAAAAGGTTGAGAAATACTGGTATAATGCACCGATAAGCTAAATAAACATCTGGTAGGAAAGGCACTGGTGTATATTCAAAGACATTTTATTTAAATTAAAAAAACACATATGAACGACTTAAAGAAACCATCAATTTCTTTACTATAGGTAGCTGCAGTTATGAGAGAAAAAGAAAAAAAGTTGGATTATTACTTTATAACCATATTTGAATAATGAAAGAATTATTTTCACAGTTATGATAATTAAGCAGTTCTTAACATTAACTCGAGGAGGTCATGACATTTCTGTTCCTTTATAAAATCTTGTTAATTGGTGCAGACAAACAGTGCAGTGTAAGAAAGTGCCATGATTTGTGTATGCGTGTGTTTGTTTAGTAGATGTTTGTCAGTGTGAACTGCATGAGTAGAAGTTTGTTAGTCTCAGATGTTCTGTAATGGAAGTTTCAATATCTTTATTGTCAATAGAATCAATACTGTAGTACAAGAATCATTACTTTTTACCTACTTAGAACTTAGTACCAGGTTAATAAACAATCAGTTGATCAAAATGTCTCAGATTAATAGTAGTTCATCTCCCTATACATTTTTATTATTTGACGGTGGAACAGCCAATCTTCCCCATCTTATAGGACTGTCAAAGGCACCTGATCTCATCCTTACAGGATGACAAGTTTCACTAAAGGAAGTATTCGAAGTAGGACTCGCTGATCGGCTTGTTGCATGTGGCACTTATAAATTTAGCTGGATCTGTTTGATTTATGCAGAATTAAAGGATAACTTAGAAAACCTCATTGTGGCAGTGTAAACCTGAATGTGGATTTTACTCATGATAGTGTAAGCTGTTATAATAACTTTGATGTTTATAAAATTAATAAAACATTATCAAAATAAGCCATCAAAATATTTAGAGCAAACACAATTCGCCAGGTAGTCTAACTACTTAACAAAGTGTACTATTCATGATAATAAGACAGCCTAGAGACCTGAAACTTTTCATGCATACTATAGGATGGTATGCACCTGGGTATTATTTTTTTCTCAAAAAAAATTTGACCCGTTTTTCTGGTCAATAATTTTGCCCTACAGCCCTTAACCCATAAAAAATAGAGAAGTATATGCTGCTATCTGTCGTTTGGTACAACAAATTGTTAAGGAATAACTGTTAAATAATAATAATAACAGTAGTTTCTTTTGAACATCATCGTGCCCCAGTTTAAACAAAAACGCAGCCTGCCTAACTGATGAATGAATATTGACTGTAAAATCCTTATCAATGCTAAAAGTGTAACCACCAGTTTGGCCGTCAATTTTAATTTCATTGTTTTAAACCGCCGCTCAATACATTTTGGGCCGCACCTTTTTTTTATTTTTTTACACACCTATGGTATTTTTGATTAGATATCCCGACTTTTTGTCAATACGCACAAACAAACCACAGCAAGTAAGAAAGTGACACTCAATAGTAATCAACATTAGCTATAGGGTTGCAACCCTATTATTCCGAACAGACCTATACTTTACAGAACCAACCAGATTCTTTAAATATATGGTGGTTCTTTTTCCTCTCTAAAATAATTTTTAATAACTTCCTTTATAGTAACGCTATGGAATGTAGAATAACAGTTTCTTGTCATTACCCGCATGCACTCGGTACAGCCGTATCAAGCATCATTATTTAACTAATTGCTTAAGCTACTATCATGTGATGCTAAACGCTCTAATTAGAATAATTTCGTAAAATTTATAGTAAAGTTATGTTTAAAAGTTAGAAATCAATAATGAATAATAACCATCCAACCGTATGATTATTTTGAAAACTTGAGTTAGAAACTGCTAATATAGTTTGCTTGGCCTAACCAATATACGTATATCTGCACGTGCTTTCACTCTGTAGTTTTCCTACTCTAAACCAGCCGTCTTTCACCTCAATGATAATCTCGTGCATTTCTTAATGAATTGAATTGAAATTTGGTTTGTGAAGTGAGGGTCCAGAAAAGCACCTCCGATGGAAATATGTAAGAGTTTGGATTACCATAGTCCGAGCTACAGAAAGTTGAAAATTGCTAAATTGTCGCTCCAGTTAATAACACAGTGTGTCCTGTAAGTTGGTTTGGCCGCACGAAACACTACCGTGTTTCTTGACATTGTTACTGTCAATTAGCTGTATTTGTAGCTACATTATACACGTTCTACATGGTTACTTAACATTAATCCAAATTATTACAGATTGGTTAGATTTTAACTTACATATAGCATCAGGCCACGTACTGGGCCTTCTCAACTCTGATGAGATCTACAGGTATGGGAGCAACCGTGTACTCTACGTATATAATAAGTAGTTTTTATATAATAATAAATATAGCCTGTCAGAGCAATGGGATTTTCACTTTTTACTGTATTGTATTACTACTATGGGCATTATAGCTTATGTTACATGAAGAAAATAAAAATATATATTTTTCCTTACCACAATGCCCAAAAAGTATCATTTTCGAGTTTCAGCAATCATGCTATAGATAGATAACAAACATAAATCTGGTTTGCTAGAGACACTGAACATGATTTTGATGTAAAAAAAACTGTAATTAAAATATCATGAAACCTTTGTTAACGTTTTCAAACTGAACTAAATTATAAGAACAAAGAAGTTTGTTTGTTCTGAATTTCGTGCAAAACTACACGAGGTCTATCTGCGCTAGCCGTCCCTAATTTAGCCAACTCTTGGGCTACTCTTTTACCAACGAATAGTGGGATTGACCGTCACATTATAACGCCCCCAAGGCTGAAACGTCGAGCATGTTTAGTGTGACGGGGATTCGAACCCGCGACGCACAGATTGCGAGTCGAGTGTCCTAACCGCCGGGCCGAACAAAGAAGTACAGTACTATTAAAAACTTCAGACACTCGTAACAAACTATAGGATATAACTTCAAAATAATGCCAATATTTTGATCTTACTTTTTGGAAGTGGAAGCTTCGAATCACTAAATCGGCAATCGTAATGACATTGAACCTTTCTTCATCAAAATAAGAATGCATCAATTATTTGAACGACTTCTCCAAAATGTTCTTTTAATAAAATAGAACATAAATTGTTTTCGTCTTTCTAACCATTTGTATACTACAGCTTTCCCAATTTAATAACCTTAATTTAAGGTGAAGACAAAAATGTACACTCGAAAAGACACAATTCTCACTTTACACCATCTTGTCAATCACATGCTCACATATCAGTATTACAATCACTAGATGGCAAAGAATTAAACTGAAAAAAAAAGCTATTTTTTCTTTCACGGGAACATTTTACAAACTATAAATATGTCATAATCATATAATTTTACCACCATTGATTTTTCATGTTACAAGTATAAATAATATTGAAAGTTTTAACTTATATATTATTTTAGGGAAAAAACAAGAAAATGAATACTGAACTACAATTCTTCAATAACAAAAATAAAGACTGTTGACAAAGCACAATATATTTTATTTATAAAGCTCGAACTCTTCAGAATATTGTTACGACAGCGGAAGTCACGTGACCCTGGTAAGACGTCATGAGATTCTCGAAAGATCTTGACTTTTCCTGGCAACTCTAGTCTGTTCTAGGCGTCCCTTTATTTTTTTTTTTTTTTTTTTTGTATATTA